ACATCAACTAATCATCAGTCACCCAATACCGAGTATGGCCAATCCAGCCCGTGGAGAAGATCCATCTCTAGGTATATAATACTTTAGACAAGATCCATGTCTAGGGAGGATCCATCCCTCAATAATATCAACCGCGCTCACTGGTGGTGTGTGCAGATTCCGGAGGGGTTCTTTCAGCTCAAGCGCTATAAACCGCACGGACAACTCATGTGCTATATAAATCCTATAAGGCCTGCTGCAGACGGGCAGCGCCGATCCACATAATAATAATATATATATAAAGCCAACATGGCCTACTGCGGCGTGCTGCCCGATCCCAAAAATATCCTCACAGTCAGGCCCTCGGCCTCCCTCAGTCATCAATCTCTCCAGTCTCTCTCTCATGGGCTCACAATGTCATGAAAATAGCCTAAAGATGATGATATGATGTATTAATAAATAACAACAGAGACTGAGATACGATATGTAATGAAATGAAAATGACTGAGTATAAATTTTCAATTTAAAATGAATAATTCACATTAATATGACCTCTGTGGGTCCCAATAATACTAGCACATAGCCTCAACATGATTTTTAATATGATTCTCAGCTAAATTTCTCAACATATGAAACTGCATAGAAAATGCCAAGATTATTTGACTATAAAATTTCACGGAAACAATTACGTCACAGTTTCTATGGTGCACGCCCACACTCCCGTTACCTAGCATGTGCGTCACCTCCAAACAATTCACATAATACGTATATTCAGGATTCATACCCTCAGCTCCAAGATTAGAAGAGTTATTTACCTCGAACCAGACGAATCCAATTCCGAGCAAGGTCAAAATGCTCCAGATATTCCATTTTGCGTGTATCAACTCCTGAACGACTCGAATCTAGTCACAATTAATTTGATTCAGTCCACACAATTTATAGGAATTAATTCCATATCAAAATAATAATATTTTCCCACATCTCGGAATCCGACGAAATTCACAAAATCCGACAACCCATCCAATTACAAGTTCAACCATACTAATATCACTCAATTTCGACTCCAAATCAATGTTCAAAACTCAAAAATTCATATTATGAACTTTAGGCCAACACCCCCAATTTTCTCTTTAAGTTCATCAATCAATTGCTAAAAATGAAGATAGATTCATGGAATATAATCACAAGGGAGTCAAGAACACTTATCCCAAGTTGTGTGGAAAACTTCCTCTCCAAAATCGCCCAAACCGAGTTCCAAAATCCGAAAATGGTGAAAAATAGCGAAACCCCGAACTTAAAGGGTTCTGTCCAGTCAATCCGCACATGCGGACAAGAGGTCGCACCTGCGACCCCTGCTTCTGCGGTAAAATGGGCACATTTGCGAGCCAGGCCGCTTCCGCGAAAAGCCAAGCGCAGATGCGACTCCGCATCTGCGGATAAAATTGCGCACTTGCGAGCATTGCCCAGTTTTCCTCCTGGTCGCTTCTGTGAATGATTGTGCGAACATGCGGCTTCTCACCTGCAATCAAACCTCCGCAGGTGCGAAAATACAAGAAGCAAAAATTCCAGCAGTGGTTTTAAGTCCGAATTTGATCCGTCAACTATCCGAAACTCACGTGAGGCCTCCATGTACCTCAACCAAACATACCAACAAGTCCTAAAATATCATATAAACTTAGTAGAACCCTCAAATTACCTTAAACAACGCTAAAACCACAGATCATACCCCAATTCAAGCCTAATGAACTTTAAAATTTCAAGTTTCCACAAACGACGCCGGAACCTATCAAATCAAGTCCGATTAACCTCAAATTTTGCACACAAGTCATAAATGATATAACGGACCTATTAAAATTTTCATAATCGAATTTCGACCCCGATATCAAAAAGTCAACCCCGGCCAAACTTCCCAAAAATTCTACTTTTGCCATTTCAATCCTAATTCCACTACGGACCTCCAAATAATTTTTCGGACATGCTTTTAAGTCTAAAATCACTATATAGAGCTATTGGAATCATAAAAATTTAAATCCGAGGTCGTTTACAGATAAATCGTCATCCGGTCGACTTTTCCAACTTAAGCTTTTCATTTTGAGACTAAGTGTCTCAATTCATTCTGAAATCTCTCCGGACCCATACCAACTAACCCGATAAGTCATAAAATAGTTGTAAAGCTTAAATTGAGCAGTAAATGGGGGAACATGGATGTAATACTCAAAACGACCGGCCAGGTCGTTACATTCTCCCCCACTTAAACATACGTTTGTCCACAAACGTGCCAAGAGTTGTTTCCAAGCCATCAAATCACTAATCCATCTTACCACGTGCGTACCCGGGGATGATCCCACGTTACCCTATTCCACATAAGCCTGACATCACAATACAACTGAAAATCCTTAATTTAACCTTAGCCCGAAAACCTTGGAATTCAATTCCCAATCTTCAGGATTTCTTTTCAAGACACGAATCTTATATTTACACACTGTATGAGTCTGAACAAGCTGCATCGAGCCATAACCATAACCACGGATATAATCACCTAACATATTACACAACTAGCATGCTTGTAGCACCATTCCTGATCATAGTAACTACTCCAAAACCAACCAAGTACTAGTATTAAACCCCATATCGAACCAAACATCATCCCAAAACCTTCATACACCGTTGATAATAAAAGAAACACGTAGAATCTTGTAAGCCCTTATCAGATAAACAAGTCATGGAGCTCTCTCTCCCCAACCAGAACCATAATCATTTTCTAAGCCGACTTTCAATATTATCCTCCCAAATATATAGTTTCAAACCTGATAGTACCTATTCTAGGTCCAATGACCATATATTATTAAACACAACTCTCCCACAGATATGCCACACTAATATAACTCAGAGCCACAAACAGTGTCATCAGTGCGCCAATACGTAATAATTCAAATGTACTCAGTTATGGAGAAATGACTCAGACAAGAGAACTATCCTGCAAGCTTAACAAGTATCACCATAATGAAATGCTGAAAATCCATCACATACCGTAGGACCATAACACACGAATCTAACACAAGGTTCATACCTTAACATAACTCCGCTGCAACGTGTGACCCCATCAAAACGCTGGTCCATCTTATATACCTCGAGCCACCCTACTCAAAATCAATAACCACGGAAAGGCAAATGACACAATGCCACACAAAACCTGAAAGAACCTAACCAATACGCAATCGATCATGCAATACCCAAATACTCATCTCGCTCAAACTCTGTTATAAGGCCCCAATAGAACTGCACCATGTGTGCATACAACCAACGAATCACAACTCCTCGTAGCATAGAAGAGTAACTCATAGATCATTTCAGAATACGAGTACGCTCAACAACCGAATGGCACATCCCTCAACAGTAGCAGTATGGAGCCAACCAATCCGGCTCGGTGTAGAATACACATCTTAATTGGGCCTACCAATGGACCCCAAATCAACTCTGGTCACCCACAAATAAATAAATAACCCTCCAAAAATCCATAACGACTGAGTCATAATACATACTATCACCTGGCTAGCTTTGGCCACGACTTCACAGTCCATAACCATGAAACAATCTGCTCCTAAAAGCTCCAAATTTCCAAATTTACAGGACACGGGAATCATCATAACGGATCCAATCTCCACCGCCCGAATTCCTATCACATCCTTCATGCACGATCATACCACTCGGAATATTTCCATAATTCTTCTGTGCGACATAGCAATAATTTGAATATCAGCAGTCTATCAACCAGGACAGTGTCGTAATACCTATGAAATATCCATGATTCAAAACATACTGCGCTTTCTAAAATGTACACTCTACTCACGCAATACCAATTAGTTATAGCATTCATCTAAACATCGAAAACCGTCCATGCCCTCTAAGAATTTATGGCCTCCCTTTCAAAACTAAACTGTGACCTGGAACACGCAAACCTTAATCCTACACAACACACTGCATCTATCATGCCATCATATGAAAAATACGAGAACCTCATAATCATTCAGAGTCAAAAGTAGAATACATATCTTAACAGCGATAACGATCCGATCAAGGAGGAACTCTTGCGATTCATGAAGGAAGTAAATGCCCGCATGGACCAAATCCCAGGAGCACCCACGATATTGAAAGGCCCAAGCTCGAAGAAGTACATCCAATTACCGTAAAAATCGAGTGCGGCCCCGGAATTAATCCCAAAGCGATTCTGAATGCTTGAAGTGCCAAAATACGATGGGACCTCAGATCCATAGGAACACATCACCACCTACACAACGACGGTGAAAGGAAATGATCTGGCTCCTCACGAAATCGAGTCCGTGTTATTGAAAATATTTGGTGAGACTCTCACGAGGGGGCGCCTTGACGTGGTACTCATTATTGCCTGAGCATTCCATAGATTTTTTTGAAATGCTCGTGGATTCGTTCATCAAGGCCCATGTCAGCACCAGAAAGGTACAAGCCCGAAAAGCTGATATATTCAGGATCGCACAAGGAGAATCTGAGCTATTACGAAGGTTCGTTAGCCGGTTCCAGAAGGAAAGGATGTTGCTACCGGCCGTCTCGGACGAATGGGCAACTGAAGCATTCACTAAGGGTTTGAACTCGAGGAGTTCAGATGCTTTCCGGAAGTTGAAGGAAATCAAGCAACAACTTGGGCGGATGTCCACAACCGGTACGAGTCAAATATAAGGATCGAAGACGATAAGTTTGACTTCTCATCATCAGCAAAGGGACGGGAGAAGAACAAAGTAAAAATAATGGACGATATCGACTCACATAGACAAGTTTCAAGGGGCCATTTTCTGCCTTTCGAGCGGACGGAAGGTCGTGACAGGAGCTTCCGGACATTAGACAAGTTCACCGTTGACAGGAGGACCGATCGTGGGCGGAATAACAGATTGCTGTAGGATAGAGGAATCTTGGGACCACGAGGTTCTTCTTATCCAAAGTTATCAGAGTATAATTTCAACGTCAGCGTGGTGGAGTTAGTGTCGGCCATGAGAGATAGCAAAGAGGAACAATTCCCGAGACCTATGAGGTCTGATCCTAGCCAGAGGGACCCAAATCTATGGTGTGAATACCATGACACTAATGGCTATCGGAGTGGGGACTGCCGGTACTTCCTTGAAGAAGTGGCAATGCTATTGAAGAATGATCACCTCAGAGAACTATTGAGTTACCGAGCCAAAAATAATTATGGCCGGGATAGGGGCGACGTGCAAACCTCGAAGGCAGGGGAAGAACCACCACGTCAAACGATTAACATGATCTTTGGAGGGGACAAGATTAATAGGGTCACTTTCTCGGCCGCAAAGAAGAATAAAGTATCGACAACCTATAGTAAGAGATTCTGGGAGGATGATATCACGTTTACGAATGAAGATGCGGACGGATTACTACTACCGCACAATGACGCACTGGTAATTTCTTTAAATGTATTAAATTTTAAAATTAAACGTGTTTTAGTGGATCCAGGAAGTTCCGCCAATATCATACAATAGAGAGTTCTGGATCAAGCTAAACTCACCGGGAACATCGTCCCGGCAACAAAGCTCCTTGTCGGATTCAACCTCACAAGCGTGACAACCCGAGGGGAAATTTTACTACTTACGGATGACGAGGGCGTAACAAAGACAGCTCTCTTCGAAGTAGTAGATGGGGACATGGGCTATAATATCATCCTGGGAAGGCTATGGTTGCACGAGATGAAAGTTGTGCCTTCAACGTACCATCAATTACTGAAATTCTCGACACCCGAGGGGATCAAGCGGATAAGAGGTGATCAACCGGCAACGAGAGAGATGAATGCAATCTCAGTCTCTCATAGCAAGGGAAAAGAACATGTGGCATAATAGTTATCGGAACCGGCTTCTGACCCCGAACCAGAGGAAGTTTCCCGGGTGTAGGAAAGTCGGAGCGATACTATATACCAAGGTATTTTCAAGTACCGGAAGAAACATACGCAACGAAATCCATGACAGAAGAACTAGAAAAGGTTGCACTGTTTGAAAAATTCCCAGAAAGGAAATTCCATTTGGGAACAGGACTACACCCAGAGCTCAGGTCAGATTTTATTGAATTCCTTAAAATTAACGCCGACTGTTTTGCATGGTCGCACGAGGATATGACAGGAATCCCAACAAAAATAGCCGTGCACAAGTTAATCTTGGACCCGAGCATACCTCCGGTAAGGCAAAAGAAGCGCCCTATTACCGAAGCAAGGAATAAATTCGTCAGAGAAGAGGTTACCCGTCTATTTAAGATTTGTTCAATCCGAGAGGTAAGATATCCGGACTGGCTAGCTAGTATGGTAGTAGTTCCCAAGAAGAACAATAAATTTCGCATGTGCGTAGATTATAAAGATCTTAATAATGCATTCTCGAAGGACTCGTTTCCATTGCCAAATATCGACCGAATAATCGACGCCACAGTCGGGCACGATTTAATGAGTTTCCTTGATGCCTATTCCGGGTACAATCAGATCAAGATGAACCCGGAAGACCGGGAAAAGACTTCATTTATAATGAGTTTTGGCACATATTGTTACAACGTAATGCCATTCAGACTAAAAAATGCCGGAGCCACTTACCAACGGCTCGTAAATAAGATGTTCAAAAAACAAATAGGAAAAACTATGGAAGTATATATAGACGATATGCTCGTTAAGTCTCTGCATGCAGGTAGCCACATGAGACATCTGCAAGAAACGTTTGACACACTGAGGGAGCACAATATGAAACTTAACCCCGAGAAGTGTGCATTCGGGGTCGGATCAGGTAAATTCTTAGGGTTCCTGGTCTCACAAAGAGGGATTGAGGTGAATCCAGACAAAATCAAGGCCATAGAGAACATCTCGGATCACTATTCAAAGTAAAGAAAGTACAGAGACTCACAAGCAGAATAACGGCTTTGAGCAGATTCATCTCCCGATCATTGGAGAAGTGTCATCGTTTCTTCGCGCTGCTCAAAAAGAAAAACAACTTTGAGTGGACGCCAGAGCCTCGGCAAGCCTTGAAGGAATTGAAGAAATACTTGTCAAGCCCTCCGTTGCTCTCGAAACCTAAAGAAGGAGAATCATTGCTAGTCTACCTGGCGGTCTCAGAAGTTGCGGTAAGCGCAATTTTAGTTCGGGAGGAAAAAGGTACATAATTCCCCACATATTACATTAGAAAAATTTTAACGGGAGTAGAAACACGCTACCCACGTCTGGAAAAGCTGAACTTAGCTCTCATGGTAGCCGCTCGGAAGCTAAGGCCCTACTTCCAATGCCACCCGATAATGGTGGTGACTGCTTTTCCTTTGAGGAATATACTCCATAAACTCGAACTATCCGGCAGATTGGCCAAATGGGCCATTCAAATGAGCGAGTTCGACATAAAGTATAAACCGAGGACAGCGATTAAATCACAAGTCATTGCTGACTTCGTGGCCGATTTAAGCCCTGGACTATTGTCTCTGACTGCCAAAGAGGCAACAATGGTGTCTGAGCCGGCACCGGGAGTCTGGACCTTATTCACGGATGGAGCTTCAAACGTGAAAGGGTCCTGACTCGGAATAGTCTTGATCACGCCTTCGGGGAAAACCTTAAGGCAAGCCATCAGAACGATTCCTCTAACTAACAATGAGGCAGAGTATGAAGCTTTGATTGCCGGGGCTCGAATTAGCCCGGGGACTCGACTCTAAAGCCGTCAAAATCAAATGCGATTTGCAGCTGGTGGTAAATCAGGTCTACAAAATTTTTGACACCAAATATGAGCGAATGCAGCAATACGTGGTGAAGGTCCAGGCCTTATTATCAAGATTCCGAGAGTGGTCAATAGCCCACATCCCGAGGGAAGAAAACGCGAAAGCAAATGCATTAGAAAATCTGGGCTCATCAACAGAAATCCAAGGACCGAAATCAGGTACGGTTGTACAATTGATGAACTCGGCCTTGGACACAGATAGCTATTACGAGGGAAATTCGACTAGTCTGGTCTGGGACTAGAGAAACGAGATAATTAATTACCTCGAGCATGGAAAGTTGCCCGAAGACTCCAAAACATCAAGAGCGTTGCGCGCCAAAGCCGAACGCTATAGCTTCAAGAAAGGCCAATTGTATAGAAAATCCGTTCAAGGCCCGTTGGCCCGGTGCTTAGGTGCATCAGAAGCCAATTCTGTCATGAGAGAAGTCCATGAAGGGATATGCGGCAACCACTCAGGCGCAGATTCTCTGTTAATGAAGTTAGTCCGAGCAGGACATTACTGGCCCCGTATGGAACAAGATGCCAAAACTTTCGTACGAAAATGTGATAAGTGTCAACGCCACGCACCATTAGTACATCGACCGATGGAACCCCTGCATTCAGTTCTGTCCCCATGGTCATTCATGAAATGGGGAATGGACATCGTCGGACCATTACCATCAGCTCCTAGGAAGGTAAGGTTTCTTTTGATTTTGATTGACTATTTTTCAAAATGGGTGGAAGCAGGTCCTTATCAAAAGACCGGAGAACGCGTAAGTGGTCGACTTCCTGTGGAAAAACATAATTTGTAGGTTCGGAATACCGAAAGAAATTGCATGGGACAACGGGCCACAATTTATCGGCACAAAAGTCACAAAATTCCTGAAAGATTTGAAGATAAAAAGGATTACCTCTTCACCTTACCATCCGAGTGCAAACGGCCAAACAGAGTCAACAAACAAAACAATTGTGCAAAGCCTGAAGAAAAGGTTAGAAGCAGCAAAAGGTCATTGGCCAGAAGAATTACTTGGAGCGCTATGGGCCTACCGGACAACAGCCAAGTCAAGTACAGGGGAAACCTTTTTTTTCCTGGTGTAAGTTGCAGAAGCTTTGATACCGGTGGAAGTAGGGGAACCAACCTTAAGGTATTTACAAGCAGACGAAGAGTCAAACAACGAGGCAATGCTAATCAACTTAGAGCTGCTCGAGGAATGCATAGACCTGGCACATGTAAGAATGGAATCTCAAAAGCAGAGGATGGAGCGATATTATAATCAAAGAACTAACCTTCGTTACTTCAAAGTAGGAGACTTGGTCTTGAGGAAGGTGACTCAAAACACCCGAGAACTCAATGCCGGCAAGTTAACCTCTACATGGGAAGGCCCTTACCGGGTTTTAGCTATCGCCGGAAAAGGGTCATACGAGTTCGAAAACCACAACGGAGACAAGTTGCCCAGCAACTGGAACGTGGCTCATCTCAAAAAATATTACTGCTGACAAATAACAGTCAAACAACAGTTAGACAGAAAGTATGTGTTGCACTCTTTTATCCTTCGTTCTTCTTTTTTTCCCAATTGGGTTTTTTTAGGCAAGGTTTTTCTTTAACGAGGCAGCGACAACAAGCATACTATAACAACAACAGTAATAAGACCTATGATGACAAGGCAAAAAAAACAAGTCTCCACTCGAGGACGATAAGATAATCCTTGCTTCGGTAGCAAATTCCCACCGGGAAGTTAAGTTTGCTACCGAACAAGGGTTACACGATCATTCACGAGCACAAACCACTAGGGATTGTCAGGTATTCTTTCGCTCGACAACATGAATTCCTAAGGGGAAAGCAAAATATGTTACCGAACTAAGGGTTACGTAGAAATTCATCGGTGGAACCTTCGAAGATACATTACATTCTTCGCATTAGAACACTGGGAGGATAATAATACAATTACAAAGAAACTCTGAATGCCACGTCAACCGGGAACGAAAACCCGGTAAGGCAACTCTGAATGCCACGTCAACCGGGAATGAAAATCCGGTAAGGAAACACTGAATGCCACGTCAACCGGGAACAAAAACCCGATAAGGCAACACTGAATGCCACACATCATCGGGATCGGGGACTGCACAGCCAGCCCCGAAGAAACAAGATAGCCACAAGTCATGGCAGCTTCTTTTCTACGTAGCAAAATGCCTATGTAAACTATGAAAACAGAAGGAATGAAATGAAATCCTTTTCCATCTTGTTTCTTGTCTACATGATGAGCTAATTTTGTCATTTGAAAGTTAAACAAGTACTTCACATATTAGTGCTGTAATAAACAGGAGACCCCCTTCAAGAGCACCGTAAACATAAGAGGGCCCTCTCTTATTAAAACTCTCTTGTTAAAGGGTTTGTTCCGGAAAAATATATGCCCGAAACTGAAAATGCTATCGGGAAAAAATACATCCGAAGCCACATATGAAAAAGATGCATAAACAAAACTTGCGCAAATACTTATTGAAACCCTCATGTAAAAGGGATAATTCTCGACAACAAAAATGTATCGAAGAAAATGCGCCCACATGCAGAAAAACAGGAAAATATGCACAGACATTCAAGCAAAAGAAAGACTCAATCAAACATTTGAGCAAAAATATGTACTCATTTACAAGAATGTGCCAAAAAAAGTACAAAACAAAGAAAGAAAAAGCTAAGCTACAGCATTACTAGAATCATGAGGAAGAGAAGTATCCATATCCACAGGTGCAGTAGGTGGTGCCATCAATGGCTCAACATCTTCTTCAACTGGGTCTTCGGCATCATTGCCTTCCGATTCCTCTTCAGTATAAGAAATATCAGAACCTTAATCAGAAGAACCGGGAGGGTCAGATCTCGCCAGGAGTCCATTCTTTGCAACCAACTCAAGCTCGGGTACCTTAGCAATTCCAGCATCAATATCAATAATGCCAACTTTGGCTGCTTCCAAGGTTTTTCTCCTCATGTTGCACATGGCGTAAGTTTTTTCAACAACGAGGGAAGCCTCTCAACGCCTGAGTTATTCTTTGAGCTGAGTGATCTCGGCAGAAAGATTGTCCCGGGCGGACCTATCAGATCGAAGACTGACATCGAGATCATGGACAATTGAACT